AGTTAAAGTGTAATTTAATAGGTGAATAGATGGTTAGATAGCATAATAGTGTAGCATAACAATTATCACAACCTTTCATTGGTGTATATATATTATTATTAACTCACTTCATGTTTTTACTCTTCAAGGTCTTTTTCTTTTTTTTTTTTTTTTTGTTAACTTTCATACCATCACATACTTCCTTCTCTTTTCTTTTTTTCTACCCTCATTTTTACCCATTTTCTCATCTACGATTCATTTACCCGTGATTTTTCTTTCTTATTAGTGAAGAGAAGAAATATTTAAAAAGGTCTTTCATAAAATATAGCTCGTATGAACCAAACATTCCATACTATATAAAATTTCCTTTTTCTTTTTCTTTTTTCTTTCCCTCACTTAAAATTGAAACAAAGTAATCACAGGAAAATAAAGTTCATTCATTGTCGGAAATAATTACTACAACAGCAATTTTTATCATAAAAAACAATAATAATAAAAATGGATGGAAAAAAAGAAGCATTTGAAAGATAAAAAATTACTTTAAGAAAAGTGGAAAAAAGAAATAAAATTCTTTAAAAAAATTGGAAAAAAAAGAAGTTATATATGTCCAGTTTCCGGAAAATACTCATTTTCAAACCGAAAATTATATACTAAACGATGGGAAGATTGTAAAATTGCTCAACAAATTTATTATCACTTTTGACAATTTTCCTTTTCATCAGTCTTTCACTCTTAAAAACGGAAAAAACGATAATTAGTGCGAATTAATCGATTCCTTTTTAGCACTTTCATTGCAAAAACAATAATAGCAGCAACAATAACAGCAATTACTACTACTGCTGATGTAACTGAAAATTTTTTATTTTGCTGATAATATTTAATGTTACGGTGCTTTTTCTTTTTGGCAATAATACCAATAAATCAAAAAAAATCAGTAATGGAAATTGAATATTTAGAATGTTTTTCATTGAATTTTCATATGTTTGACAAAAGTGAAAAAGCGAAAAGTCTGGTAGATTGTTAAAATTCGTGATTTGTTTTAGTTGAATATTATTGATTGAAATAAAAGGAAAGAAACTAACTTGTTATCATCATCACTAGCAGTATCATTACTATTATCATTGTCACTATCGTCATTATTGAACAAAATATCCTTTAGTCAGTTTCGTATATCAGTGGCTTTCAAAAACACTAGTTTGAAGTGTGAAATTACTAAAATCTGAAATATTTTCAAGAATTGATCTAGGAGTACATTGTATGTATTGCATGTGTATGTGTAGTCGTGTCTGTGTGTGGGCGGAAATATATGTGTTAATGCATATGCTTACATTTGTGTGTGTATATGCTTCTATGTTGTTTATATGTATGTGCGTATATCTATGTATGTATGCTTGCATTTATATATGTGTAAGTATGCAAAAGTATATGCATGTATGTGTATGCGTAGATTTCCGGAATAAAAGAAAAAAAAATTAACAGAATCAGTAAATATTTAGAAAAAAATGAGGCGAAAATCTCAATTGTACTTGATTAGAAAATAAAAGAAATCCAAATATTCATGCTATTAGAATTGTTTTTAAAAATTAGCGAAGAGAAATCAAGAAATACCATAAAAACTGTTTTTCATTACGGTAAATGTACAATTACGGTAAATGTTTATTTAGAAAATAATCTTCATCCATTTTTTTCTTTCACTGAATTTTTTTTTTTTTTAGTCTCGTTTCTAATATGTAATACAACGAGTTAGGGAGAAAAAGGGAAAAATGAATGCTTTTTTTTATATTTACTCAATTTATTCAACCACAAAATTAAATGAAAAAAAGTAGGTGGAAAATAAAATATAACATTTAATATCAACAGTAATGATTGAAAATGATTTTGCAATAAATTAACAAAAAAAGAATTTAATAAAATGAAAAAAAAGCCTTTTTTTCGAATTATTTTTAAATCTTAATTCATAATTAGTAATATTAAAAGTTCAATAATTTTCTTTCGTTTTCCCTTTGTTCCATTTCTCTCTATCTTCTTACCTGTCCCAATTAAATCTTAATTAATAACTGTATAATGTGTTAAGGTGTGATATGTAAATGGGATGATATATTTGTATGTGAAACATATATATATATATATGAAATATATCTTTTGATGCCCTCTTGTCCACCTCTGTCTCACCTACGCCTCTCCCCGACCCTCTATAATTGGATTTTAATAATACCACAGCACACCTCGATGGGCGCAATAGTGAATCTTGCCATTCACTGATGCATGTGCATCTCTGTGAGTTAATGTACGTAAACGTACGTGAATGTCTATGGGAAGTTAGTAATGTGCACCCCCGCATTTAATGATGGTTTCGAGAGAGCTCCACCCTAAAATGAACAAAACAGCCAATGAGAGACATTATAATGGCTGTTTAGTTCCAAAATGATGGCAATCAAAGCTATTCGTTGCCCTATTAGATGTGCGCTACTGTCGTCCAACCCCAAAACGTCCTCTCTCAGTCCCATTACGGTGACTTGATTAGCTTCTCTTCAAATAGCATTCTCTCCTTCCCTCTCCCTCTTTCTCTCTCTCTCTCTCACTCATTGTTCATATCCTTATTGTACATTGTTGTTGTTGTCGTTATTTTTGCTGTCGTTGTTGTCGCTGGTCGTTGTTTAAAGTATATTTTATGTTCTTATCTGGTATTTAATTACTTCATCCGGATTTTTGTTATTTATGTTCATAAATGCTAAAACATACTTATGAATAGTTAGGCTTTATTTGTTATTTCCTTGATAAATTTAAATCTTTAAATGTTTCTATAAATGACGATAATTCGTTGTTTTTGAAAATTTCTAAAGTTTTTAATAAAATTATTTGACTTTTACCAGAATACCAATTCTTCAATTAATAGTATTAATTGAAAAAATTTTCTTAAAATCTCTTCTCTTTCACCTCTAGATTTAAATTTTAAATAAGACAAACTTCTAACTATATTGTAAATATCTAAATAATTTTCCTTATCTTCTCATTTATTATAATTTCCATTCGATTATTGTTGAAAAAACTAAATGGTAAAACAGGTAGGCATAATTAATTGCTAAGTTACTCATTATTTCAGGGATATGTATATATACTGAATAATTAAATATGAATTAATATTGAAAACTGTGTAGTAATTCAATAGGTTGAAGTATTGTAATTATATTTTAAATGTTGACGTGAGAAAATGAAATTATCTCAAGCAAGTTTGAACATTTTATGAGTAAATTTTTGATTTCATTAAGAACGTGCAATTTTCACTTCAAATAATCTTTCAGTCACTAAATTGAAGGAAAAATTATAAGAAAGCATTTTTTGAAATTAATTCCTAAATAGTAAATTTTATTCACCTTAAATTGTCTATCATTTTCTCATTCTTTTTCAGTTTCTAATCAATTAGTTATCATTAATTTAAAATCAAAATTACATTTAAACTTAAATGTTCCTTTCCTTTATCCAAGTGTAAAAAATAGTTCAAATGAATTCGCAAAAATTAAATTCAAAAATGTACTACTAAAAAATTTTTGACTAACAAATATTAATTTATAATTTCATCAGCTTCTTTTTCTTTTCTGTTTTGTTAAATAATGTGATTATTTGATTTTTGTGAAAGTAAACATTTTTAAGCATTATTTTTCAGTGAAAAAGAAGTTGATCTGATAGCTAGGAGTTGAAAAAAAGAATTCAAAAATGATATTCACAAAAATTTTGAAAATTGAAAATTTTTTTAACAACTTGTAATAAATTGTACATCTAATAGGTTGATATGATGATTCTGAGTTGAGATGATAGATTCTGGTTGATAACTTTTTTAACAATAGTTTATTATAGATAATAAATATATATATACAAAGTTAAAAAATGATCACAACTCTCAGCTGAATGATAATAGCGGAGAGCAGGGGGAGTTGATTGAGGAGAAAGAGGAAATAAATGACTGTGAGAAGTGGAATGTGATGCAAACTGAGCAAAATAGTGCAAAAAGCTCATAATTAAACTTGTTATCAAATTATTGGTTGATTTGTTAATTCAAAAAATGAACAAAGCAAAAAAAGCAAAATTATGCTGCAAAATTTACTTCAAATGTTTTTCAAAGAAAAAAATGTCAACCATACATAATAGTTGTCACTTGTAAAAAATACCCATCATTAACTTGAAAAAAAATTGACAACTTTTCAGTCAATTTATCATTTATTAGCATAACCTGTATTGACATATTTATGAATATTATGATCATATAAATGAAATATATAATGTAACCAGAAATTTTATTGATTAGTTAATTTGTTGCTATCCAATCATTTAAATTTTAACTCATTTTCCTTGCAAAATAAAACAAAAATAACAAGAAATTAATATTGCTAATTGTCTTTTTTTTTAAAAAAAAAATTTTATCCGGCAAAAATAAAATTAAGCAAAAGTTGTAATTAATGAAATCCATTAATAATAATAAATTATATTTTGAAACAATGCTAGATAGAATTTAAAATAAAAAATAAACACTAATAAATCTGCATATAACTAAATTTTAATTTAAAGCTCTAGCAGGATTGATTTGATTTAACAAATTAGTTTTAAAGTACAATCCAATGAGGAAATGATAAAATCATTAACTCAATAATTATCATTCATTCTAATTAGCCTACTTTATTTCCAAAGTGATCAAATACTACTGTATCTGATGTGTTCAATATTGCTACCATTTCAAAAAATAAAAAGGAATGAAGGAAAAAACACTGTAAACAAATTGTCTTTCACATTTCGATGACTTCCGAAATTAATTATTTTTTATCCATTTTCATTTCTTCATTAATTTTTTTGAGCTTTTGTTTTTGTAAAACTTTTCAAATTCACCACTATTTAGTGTGAATTTAATTCATAATTTATCACTTTATAATCAATGTTAACTTCTATCAATTATAAGTGTAATCAGTTTTTTGATAAAAAATCTATTAAATAATAATCGAATGTAGAAATTTTGATCGTTGCAGAAGGTAATGAATCTATTGGATCCACGACAATTAATGATGAATCCGTTTGCGTACAGTGTGGTGGATCCGGCAACGATAGCACTATTAAGTACAACATCCGGCACACAAAATAGTAGTGCCGGAAAAATTGTCACTTCTGCTAATAATTTACACAGCAGTAATACTTCTGGTAATAGTAGCTTCCGAATTTCTGATATTCTTGATTCAAATGATGAAAAAGCAAATACAAGTGGTGAAAATGGTTAGTATTAATTTAAAAAGCAAAAATTCTTTTTTTAAAATATTTCAATAAAAAATGCTCAAATTATTTAACAATTCGTTTTTAATTTTAAGAATTTGTTACTATAATTTTTTTAGTCCTCAGAATAATTTGTTTAAATATATTTTATAAACTTTTTAATACATTTGAAAAATTTTGTAAAATTTTGCTTTTTCTATTGAAAAAACAAATGCGTAGATAGAAATAAAATATTTGCAGTCCTGTAAGGTTCAAAAAAAAAAAGACACAGTTAGTGAATTATAATTGTTTCTGTCTATTTTATTGCTATATCAATATAAAACTATTTTAATTCAATTAATAAAAGCAAAAAAATATTGTATATTTCAAGAATTTATTTATATTCACTTTACCGTAATTGCAATTTTTTTCTATTTCCAGAAATCATTACTTTGCATTAAATAAGCAAAATATTTGTCATATTGTTTCTGTTGTATATTAATCAGAAATGTTAAGCTAAACAATAATATAAACAGGTAATAATAATTTCATTCATCTAACACCTGTCTTAACCATTCACTATATTATCTCACCTTTTTAAGCATGCTACAAATTTATTCATTTAATCTGATCTTTTCAAAATAAATTTAAGATAATTTTTACAAAATTTGCTTAAATATAAAATAATATTGATAAAGACAAAATAAATTGTTAAAAATGACAATTTTTTTTATTACGATATTATATTAAGAAAGATATAAAGTGGAAAAGTGAAAAAAAAAATTGATAAAAATAATGATTTTTTTTCAAGAAATATTAATTATGTTAAATGAATGATATAAAAGCAATAAAAATGTAATAACTTATCCTTAATTCATTCTAACCGTAATCATAATTTAGTGGTACTGAAGCGGAAAATATCTCTTTCCTAATTTCATCTACCTTTTACCTGCTAATTATTATTAACAAAACCTTTTTCCTTTTTTCTATCCTTTCAATTTATTTATTTTTTCTATCTTTCAATAATTTACACCTCACCTTTTTCTTTTTTTTTCTTTTTTCTTCTCTTTATGTTTCTTATTTTCTGCTTTTCTTTTTAATCAATCTATTTCTAGTAATAACTAATTTATAAGCTGTTCATTACAATTATTAACAATTATTGCTTGTAGTCGGCTTAAATGGATTATCGAAATTGTAAATCATTGAGCGCAGATGGAAGATTGGAAAATTAGGGGATGAAATAATCTTTTTGAAGGATGGTGATATTTTTATACGAAAGAGAGGATTAACATGCTTTTAATCTAGGATTAATTAATGAAAAAAAAAAAAAAAAAATAGCTATTATATGGAAGAGAAGAGAAGGGTGAGAAAATTATGGTAGTTATGAAAAAAAAGCAAAATAATGGTAAGATGAGAGATAATGTTCAATGAAGATTTAGAATTGATTATGGATTGATTAAACGGATTATTGAAAGATGAGATTTGCTCATTTAATTCATTACTCATTTATTAATCACCAACAAAATACTTTTTTAAGCTATTGTCTTGTCATGTGATTCGCTTGTACTATTATTATTATTATTTGATTTGTTACCATATCAATTCTACGGTTCTTAGGGATAATATCGAATAAATCTGTAGTGTGTGAAGTAGAGAGAGAGAGAGAGAGAGAGAGAGAGAAGGAGTAACAGGGAAAGAAAGAAATGAGAAAATGTGTTACACCGGTTGAATAGAAAAATGCAAGAAAGAAGAAATATGGTTTGTCCACTAAAAAAAAGCAGAAAACTTAAAAAAAAGAGATTTTAGGCAAAAAATTACTTTTAATTTAAAAATCATTAAAACCGAAATTTAACTTAATTATAATAATTTTTTCCTAGTATTTATTTATTTATACAGTTTTTATTACCTGATTACATTACCAGTTAGAAATTTGTCAACCAATAACAAATAAATATTTTTCAATTTTTTGAGAAATTTAGTAGTTAAGAATGATAGTAACAGTAACAGTAGCAGTAATAATAATAGTAACAATAATAATAACAAACTAAAACACGTAGAGCAGATAAAAGTAAAAGCACAAAAATGAAAAGGATAGAAAAAAATTATTTTGTTAAAAAATGAAAAAGTTAAAAATTCAAAAATAGGTGCGGTAATAATACTTCAGCACGTTGCTAATTCTTTTTTTAATTTCTACTAGCTACTTTTAAAAATTTTTCTAAAATTAGACAGAAAGAAAATAAAAGCAAAAGATAAAAGAAAATTTATTTCCATTGTTATCATTATAATCAATTATATTATTTAATTCAGAATTATCATCATTGGGTGAGGATGAACGAAGCGGGTCAACGGAATCACATCGTTCTGGTTGCAGTCCACATTCACATTCTTCAATTGGATGTGGTAAAAAAGCTCGTAAAGCACGAACAATTTTTACTGATAAACAATTACAAGTATGATATGATATGATATAAATGATTTTTCTAAAACTCTCTAAAACTTTTACAGCATTTTTTAAAAAAATTTGTAGAAATTAATTCTTTAAAATTTTTCATTTTCTTTTTTGTCTTTTATATTTTAGGAATTGGAAGCAACATTTGATAAGCAAAAATATTTGAGTGTGCAAGATCGAATGGATTTAGCCCAAAGAATGGGTCTTTCTGATACACAAGTAAAGACGTGGTATCAGAATCGTCGGTAATGGATTTTTTTTAAAAAAAAAATATTTTTTTCCTTTCAATTTTTTGCTCCTTTTAATATTCTTTCTCTCTTTTTTCAGTAGCATTAAAATGATATCTATTTAATAAATATTTTTTAATAACAAAAATTTTTCAATGTTTTTTATTATTACGTATTACCCACATTCAGTAAAAATTAGAATGAATTGAAATCAAATTGCATTAAATTTCTTTTTATTAAATTATCATTTGTAATGAAAAAAGTTTGGTGGAATAATGATCAAAAAAAAAAAAAAAAAAAGAAGAAGGAAAAAGATTTGAAGTTAAATGTTATACATTTCTGAAATGCAAAAAAGAAAAAAAAAATGATTTACTTAATCGCTAATTCCTTAATTCATTGACTTCATATTTGTGTATCACATTTCAAATTATCATTTCTCCTTAAATTATCAAATTATGTATCGAATTTCGAAGAAAAATTAATTAAAAACACTCTGAAATTGAATTTCAATTTGTCCTCCCCACACTTTTACTACCGTATTTCTCGGAAAAAACTACTGTAAATTTTTTTTCTAATTTTTGTTTTTTATTTGTAAAATAATAACTTTTCTCCTTTTTTCCTATTTCTATCTCTCCTTTTCTTCAATCTATTACTTTGTTATGATTTTTTAAGAAATAGTGTAGAAGAGAGAAAAAAGAGAGAGAGGGGGAGAAAATGACATGAAATTAGTGCAAGGTTGAAAAGGTAATTAGCAGACTTTAACACCCTAAAAATGCTCATTGTACCATAAAATTGTGAACAAAAGCAAAAGAATGGATTAGAAGAAGAGATATGTTTATATTAGCAAAGAGTGGATGACAAGAGGGACAGAAAGAATTTAATGTTTCGTCTATTTCATGGTACCATCTCTCTTTCATTTTGTTCCCCTAAAATTCAACTTTCAACAATTATTTTCTCCTGCTTCCTCATTTCGCTCACCAATAAATTATTTGTTAATGTAAATTTAAAGCATTCGAGCAAAAATTCATGTTGCTTTTTATTTCATGACAATAGTTCATTTTCGTAGTTAATAAAATCATTAAAATGTGTTCAAAATTGTCATTCCTTTCCTTCTTTATCTATTTCAAAATAAAATTTTTTTTTTAAAAAAAAGCGATTGAAAAGGAAAATTAAATTTCCAAGAGCAAAATAAATGATTAATTTATTTCTACTTATTAATTAATTAAAAGAGATAAACACATTTTCACATTGCCACTATTTGTATAGTGTGTGTTGCATTGCTATCTCACATATTAGTAATTATAAATTGTGATTTTATTTGTATAATAAGACTAAAAATCTTGAGAAAACAGAATTTTTTAATTTCACATTCTCATTGCAAATTAAATTTAATTTATAGAACAAAATGGAAAAGACAAGCAGCCGTTGGAATGGATCTGTTGAATGAAGCATCAAATGTCGCTGCAATACAACAGTTGTTGCGTACTAATCCATATTGGGCCAACTATATGGCAGCTAATGCGCTGAATCATCCAAGACTTTTTCCGCTTCAAACGTCATCGCTTCCACTTGGCTTATCAACCGTTGCAACTCCTAGCAATCTGCCCTCTTCCACATCATTTGTACCACTTGCCATACCAGCGGCAGCGCCATCATCACCAATTGCGCCCTCTTCAACAACAACAAATACGGTGATTACCGGATCACCGATAACATCTCTACCACTGGCAATGTTTCCATTCCAAGTACCCACTTCAAGTTTTACCCTAAATCTTGTCCAAAGTCCACCAATATCAGTATCAGTGGAAAGATCGAAAGTAGAACCATCAAAATCAACAACACCGCTAAATAATATTGAAGTGAAATCACCTGAACTGAAATGATTCTTTGTTTCTCTCTTTTTTTTTTTCAAGTGAAAAATTTTTTTTCCTATTTTTTTAAATAAGCATTTAATTTGTCTCTTTAGATCATTCCGTATAAACCATTTTATTCCTTACTGAATCTTATTATTAATGTCACAAAAATCGATTTTATTAAATGTTCTACTGCTAAAACATTTAAACAATTATTGAAAAAACTTTAAGAATTAAAAAAAAAAAAATATTTGGTATATTTTATAATTTAAATTACTATTAATTTAATTAAAAAATAAAAAAGCTGATGTGTTAGCATACAAATATTCCAATATTCCTTTAAAAAAGTGTTATAAATTATGTTTAGAAAAAAGCTAAAAAGTTACATTGATTATGTAATTAATTAAATGTTTTGCAATATTTGTATCTTATATTATCCTTTTTTAACTTCCGATTACGTGTTTATTTTTAATTTTCAACTGTGATTTTTTTTTAAAAAAAACAAGCTTCATATGCTTTAGCCTGCACATTTAATTTTGTTGTACAAAATTATGCACAGTAAGTTGAAATAAATTCTTTTCTTTTTTCCCACTTTTACAATATTTTTTGCTTTCTTCCTTTTTTTTTTTTTTATTAACATAGCACAAAAATACAATGAGTAAACTTTTTATGTTTATGCTAATACAATTAAACAATTACACAATAAAAATACTGCAACCAAGAAGTACTGCCAATAACATTGCATATATTATTAGTATTACCAATATTATCATTAATGCTAATTATTATTAATATTAGCATTATTAGTTGATTATTATATGCATGTAAATAGGACAATGAAGAATTTAATACGTTTTAATTACGTTTACAACTTTTAAAATTTAATACGTTTACAACTTTTAAAATAATGTTTTTATCAAAAAACAAAAAAATTTTTTAAAGAAAAGAAATGAAAAATTTGAAGAAATATGTTCTAATTTAAAAAATCTTATAAACTGAATAATATTAATATGCTTTTCATCCAATGGTGTGCTATATTATCATTTGAAAATTTGCAAAAAAAATGATGCATCTGTCGACAGACGGTCGATTAAATTTCATTTGCACATTCGTTCGTTTGTATCAAAATCAAATTAAAGATCGGTAAAGGTGAAAGTAGGAGGGCAGATGGATGAAATGTTGTTGCTAAATTATGTGTTGCGATTGTCGCCTCAATTTTTTTTTCGTCTTTTTTTTTGTTAAAATTTCTCTTTTAAAATAGAAATTGAAAAATAAATTTCAAAAAATGTGAAGTAATAAGCAAGCAATTAAATATATTTTTAATCTTATCTCTTCTCAACAGCTATTATTATGTATTATTAGTAATTTTCTATTTTAAAGGAGAAATTTTATAAGTCATTCGTACAAAAAATACTAAACTGATATTTGTGAAATTATTTAAATTTACCAGTATTTTAAATGAAATGACATTTTTTTTCTTTTGGTTCAGATTTTATTTAACAATATTATTGACTGTATAATTAATGCAAATAATTCATAAAGAATTTTGTAACGTTTTCAAAAAATAAATTTTTTTACTTGAAAATATTCCATAAGCCATAAGCTATGCTATATGTCATAAGTTATTGCAAATCTTGTTTATTATAAATTGCTATTAGTATTGTTTTATAAGTTATAAGTTAAACCTGTAAGTTATGGAAGATATGTGATTTTTTCAGTGATTAAGCAGAATTTGTTGACATATTCCCAATTGATTAATAATTTAATTATTACTAATTTGATCAGATTACGAATATAACAGTATTGAAAATATTTTCCCATTTTTGTGTATTTCGTAAAGTGATTATACAGAAAGGTTTTATTTCTCCTTCTTTCTAATAAACAAACTGAATTGTTATTTGAAAAAAAGCAAAAATCTAGCAATTAAACTTGTTAAGAATAAGATTAAATACTTTTAACGATTGAAAATATAATTTAATAATTGAAGAAAAAAATTCTTTGATATATAAAATAAATACACACATAGCAATTTCCCTTTGATTTTTTCTTCACTTTGTTTTTCTCTTTTTTTCATTTTTTTTTTTTCAAAATATAAATAATTAAATTATAAATATAAAAATGACATTATAACATACATTGAATCATCATAATATCAAGTAGTATATTAAAATAGGTTATTAAAAAGAGGAACATACATAAAGAAGGAGAGAAAGGAAGAGAGAGAAAGAGAAATAAAGAAGGAAATGAAATTGACATTGAAATAATAATAATGATAATAGCAACAATAACAATAATATTAATTAATAGTTGAGGTTAGATAGTAGTAATACTGAAAGTCGATATCATCATTGTCCTCTACTGTCCACTCATATTGTCTTCTTCCATCTAATTCTTTTCCAATTGTCAGTATTACTACTACTACTACTATTACCAATTATTGTTATTATTATGTTTATTGTCATTATTATTATTATGTTTATTGTCATTATCATTATTACTATTATCATTGTCACTATTGTTATCATTATTATTATTAATATTAATATTATTATTGTTATTATTATTATTACTGTTACTGTTACTATTATTATCATTCTTAACTACTAAATCATTTCGATTTGAGGAAAAACGAAAATTTTGAAGAAATCCATTCAAAAATGCTATTGTTACAATAATTACTACTAAATCATTCTTTGTCTCTATTTATCTTCTTCTATCTATTCATTTTCTTTTTTATTTGTTCATTTTTAATTCAAATTTATTAAATCATAATTATCGTTAGAATGCTAATCACTTGTCCTTTCTCTCTATACTCTTACTTCATTTTCACTTCCGTTTCTTCTTTTTCTCTTCCTCTCTCTCCTTCTTTCCCTGTTCTATCGTTAGGACAATTTCCTACCATTTCTTGAAATCTTTTCATTTGGACGAATACAGCAATTTTTGCATCAATTACGCAACAAATGCGCAAATTGTCATTCATTTTATAGGGACGAAAAGAGAGGAAAGAGAAATAGAGCGAGAGGGAGAGAAGAAAAGGATTATTAGCATTTTGCAAGGAAATAGCCAATGTTATTAACTTTTCCATTGTCATCACAAATCATATCAATTGTCGAATTTCCTTCTAATTTCTCCTCCTTCTTTCTTCTCTTTTACCTCTCTCATTCTCTCTCTTCTCTTCCTTCTTTCCCTTTGAAATTTATAATAAAAGGATTAAAAAAAAAAAAAAAAATTTTTTTTGCTAATCATAGCGAATGCTATTGATTACATATATGTTTATAATGATTTTATTTATTCTAATGTGATTTGAAAAGTGGATTTATAGCCTTATAAAACTTAAGGATAAACTTACGAATTTAATAAAATTTAAGAACACATTTCTATATTTCAGAATGATCAAAGGGACATGGAATAACGTCGTGCATGTCATATTGATTATTGCAACATTGATGTGTGATATAATCATAATTTGTTAATATTTTATTATTTGTTATGGGTGGATAAGCTCATGGCAAATACCAATAAATGTTATGAATTTAATAATTAGTAATTTAATAATTATTGTATTTGTCAAATAAGTAATTCAAAGTTTATATAGTACACTCAAAACATAGACATAAAAAAAAATCATATCATAATTTTAATTCGTTTTTTTATTTGTTGTTTTCTTTATTTTTAATTTCAAGTAATCACTTAAGAAGCCCATGTAACAGTAATGCTAACATATATCTAGACAAAATGAGTTGGATACAACTGATCTGTCCTGAAAGAATCATATAATCAATCATAATGTTTCTGTTGAGATAACTAACTGTTTGGATAGCTTCAATATTGATTATTTGTTAACTTATTTCTTCCCTCTCTAAAAAAACTAAGTAAGCATGCAAATAAATAAATGAACAAATAAATAAATAAACAATGACAGCGGAAAAAATACGAATGTATATGCAATATTGATATAATTTAATACAATAGTAATAAAAGTCATAACAGTGATAATATTAACAGTAATAATTATTATTACTATAATTATAATTATTGTTGTTATTGAAATAATTCTGTGTGTTCTTTTTATTATCATTATTGATATAATTATTATTTTATTGTCTGTAATAATAGTCATTTTTATTAAATAAGCAAAATAAATTATGCAATAATTCTCCTCCAAATAAATTGATTTGAAAGTAATTCAATCAGTCATTAAATGGAGTCACTCAACCAATCACTTCAACCAATTTTATTATTTAAAAAGAAGATGAATAAAAGAATCATGTTTTTTTCCTATTCTTTTTTTGAAATATTTTATAAGTTCTAAATTCGATGATATTTTGACAAAGTATTAATTCGTTCCTTCTAACTCATCAAATGATTTCATATTTGTTTAAAATTGACATTTATAATGGATGATTCATTTATTTATTCATTCATTCACTTCATATATAACATGTATGATCTAATTTTAATAGAATTAATCTTAAATTAGTGTAAAGGAAAACTATAAATGAAGAAAGATGAAAAGAGGAATAAATGAATGAAAAGATGAATAATATATTGTAGGATAAATTATCCATGTATCCATTTGTTTGAAATTGTGTAAAGAATTGAATAATGATTGATGAAGAGATCGTATACCAATTGCGGATAACATTAATGCATCAAATATCAATCAGAAAATGAGACAAATGCGCTTTGGAAAATTCAAATTATATACCTTTTGTCATTTTAATTCAAGAAATGGACAAATTTGATTCACTTCATCTCTCTCATTATCAACTCTGTTCACATTTAAATTACATACCACTACTACAACATATTTACTTACATATATATATATACAAAATCCATTAGAAAATTTAGAAAATTTTAGCAATTTTCTCTCCATTAATTTGAGAATTATAATTTTTCGCATAAAAATAAAATTTTTACACAACAATTTTGTTTGGTTTTCTATTCCAAAGATAGCATTAAGCATAGTATCATTTAAGAAACTTTAAATTTATTTATTTAGGTGAATAAAAATACTACAAATATAA